AAAGTGTTGTTGAGGGAGATGGGTGAGCTCAATGGAACCTGACCGTAAGGCTCAGAGAGTCTTTATATCTAGCAGCAAAAGTTAGTTAGATGTTTGAACTCGATGAAGTGGTTTGTAGCGTCACGAAAGTGGGATGACCTATATTCGTGTTCCATGCTCAAGAGTTGTGCTTTCAACGAAAGTCCTTAGCTTTATTAGCCACGATCTATCGCTCCTCATCAGTTGCTATTCCGATGTTTGATGCCTTCCTCCATCTTGCATTCGCCTAAAGCTTCCACCTTTAACCGCTTAGTACTGTCTCTTTTCTGTTTAGACCGTAGAACTTATCCAATCTCTCTATTTGTGCTTTAGCTTAACTTCGATTCTCCATGGTCTATTACTCTAGGTCCTTGCCTTCCTTGTGTTCGAACCCTATGCTTTGCTACGATTGAATCTTGAGTAGGTTGCTAGCAAGTTAGGATTTTTATTTGTTTAGAAAGACAAAATCCTTCTCATCAACCATCTGAAAAATAGAAAATTAAAATTATAAACAACAAATCATGTATCATTCAAAGACTTGATGGAATGTTAACAATCAATATATAAATTACCTTTGCCGGCATGTTCCTTGTCCTCTCAGCAACCTCCAGGATCTCTTTGGCTGATATGGAAACCCCGTCTATAGAGATGGTGCTAAACCAAGAAAAACTAAAAATAATTTTAAAATGGCCAACTATGACTTTGTACGAACTTAAATTTAAATGTTGGCTAACTTGTTTGGTATCCAAATGTGGAAAAAAAAAGAATAAATTTGAAAATAACCATCTTCCATCAACTTACAAATTACGTTTAGCCTTCTCTAGGAATGTACCAAACTTGTCGCAATAATCTCCACCACCAACATCGCCATACACAGACATATGAGCTTCCCTAGCTCACTGTACAATGTGCATGTCACACTGATAATCATCAACCAATGACGGCGGAATGGTCTTCTGCCTTTTGCTCTTACGGCAAATCCCACCAGAATCAGGAGCTAGTTCCTCAACCGCCTCCGTTACACAGTCAACATCCCCCTGTGATAATCCAAGGGAGAATGAAGGAATGAGACATAGTAGAAGGGTTTGATAGATCTGAAAACCAATTATGATTTCCAATCAAGCAAAGTTAGCTACATAACCAAAAAAATTCAATTTATCTACCTTATCTCCATGACTAACAGTTCCAACAGGGTCACACTCAACAACAGTCTCCTGTAAAAGAAAAAACAAGCTCTAGAAAGCAAACCAAAATAAAAAGATAAGGTAAAACATGAACAATTACCATCTTCCCATTACAATCAACATCCATAGCACCACCTTGACCCTACAACAAACAATCATAAATAACCAGCAAAACAATAAAAGAGGTTATACAATTAAAGAGAAGTTACCTCTACACTAAGGTTGCTCTTTCCAAGCTCCACATCACCAAGGGAGATGTCAGCAACACCATTGTCAACCCCTACCGTATCCTATATTAAACAAAACACTAAAGTAAGACATGTCCTAAGCTATTGGCCGCAAACTGCGATGTTATCATGTTAAAAGATGAAATACACACCTCTGTAGCCGTGGTAGAGGCATGCATGCTATTGTGGATTTCTTCGATAACAGAGTTGATAACTCGGTCAGCCTCATTTTCTTGATCATCTAACCCTGGAGCAGGATTATCCCCAACATTATTGGCATTAGGTGAGAAATAAGCTTCACTAGAAGGTAACACCGGGGTGTCACCACTAAGACCACCAAAACTAGTTCCCTTCTGACATAAATCCGAGACAACATTTGATATATGCTCCTTCATAATGGTTAGCATCTGGTCAAACTTCGTATCTAGACCGTCGGTAATGTCCATCTTCAGAAAATCAAGCTTGCTTTTCAAAACTTCAATTTTTTTAATGCAAGAATTAACTTGCAAACCCAAAACACTAAATTCTTCTTTCATTTTACTAGATATTAACTCCGCAATCACATTGAAATCAATATCAAAACAACCATTTCTATCAGTATCAACGTTGCCTTCTTCCACACTAACACCAGCTTTTCGTTGTTTGGCTTTAGCATTCTTCTCCTCCTCTTCCTTTCGCATATGAATCAGATCCGCTTTTGTCGCTCCACCAACAAATATTTCACTATGGAATGCGCGTTCTTCATTAATAAGTTTCACCCTGTTCTCAACTTGTACATCTTCAATTTCTTCATCCCAACCATAAGTACTGTTTGGAACCTCAATTTCACCATCATCAGCTATTATGCCATCAACAGATGCCTACCAACAAATAAATTAACATATCAAATTTAAATGTTCTGTCCAACCATACAAAAATATATAACTAATTTCTTAGCCTTCGCCTTCCTTATATAGCGAATACATAATAAATTAAAAAGAAAAAATTATATTTATCCTTCAGAGACAGACAATTACCTCAGCAAGCGACATGTACATCTCTAGCATACCCAGGACTCAGACTAATCCTGCTTCCAGGTGACTCTTTATCATCTTCTCCATCGTCATCACCTTCCGCTTCAGAGTAAGACGAAGAAGAGCAGTTAACCTGATCTACTTCGGTTAATGCAGGCACGGTTTCAACCATTACAAGTTGCAAAGCGTGGACAAAACCTTTTATTGCAACGGTTTTCTGAGAAAGACTAGCTTCCTTCCTCCCTTTTATATTGGAAATAAG